TTCGGCTTATTTCAATATATATATCTCAGCTAAGTTAAGCACTGCAAGCGACAGTAAAGTGAAGTATTAATTAATGTGATAAATTTTATTAATACAGTTGAGGTTTGTTTCTCTAAGATAAAAACTTTTTAAACTTTTAAAACTTTTTAAACGTAAAAAGAAGCTAACTTATTTCAAAAATATATAATAAAAACAATTATAGTATAATCCACCAATTTATACATATTTTATGCTTATATTTCAATTTTGCATTAAATTATAAAGTACATTTTGTTAACATAAATGATTGAAGACTAACTTAGAGTGACCTATATTTCATCAAAATACCTAGAAGCAATATAAATTATTTTATTGCGTTTGTATGTATTGTTTTAAGCTTCGTAAAAAAAGTATACCTTTACATACAATGTAAATTTAAAGCAAAAACAATGTAAAACAATAAAGAGAGATACTCAGAAAACAAGATAAAATAATTAACATTAAAATGTTAATGCATTGCAGGCAGTTCGTTTGAAAAATGAATACAACTCAACTGTGAAAAAATCTATAACAAATTGTATCTCGAAATGATTCTTTGTGTAAATATCAAACATTCTGTAAAAGATTGCCTTCGTCTACAATGAATTAAGTGGTGACGTGGCGTAAGGTCTCTTTGCGCCCGAATGAGTTTGTAAATGAAACTTAAAAGATATTTAACATATTTTTCAATTTATCACTGAACTGTTGGTTTTGCCTAAGGATAATTATAACGAATTTGGCGTCCTTCTATTGATACGCCTAGGGCACGATCGATGTCTCGTTCTTCCTTACGTGGCCTCTGAATGTAAGAAGTGTGCTGTATATTAAATTTCTAGTCTGTTTAGACATATATAAATACAGTGTTTCCCAAACTCTTAAACATATAATGAAATTAATAAAAGAGTTTTTAGTTAAACACTTGGGTTCAGGAATTATTTTTATAATATATATTTTTAGTATGTTATTACTAGGTACATGTGCCAGACTTACTTAACTCAACTCTTCTACTTAAGTGAAATAAGTATTTTAATCAAAAAATAAATATGCTTTGAAGAAAAGTAAAATAAACTTTCAAAACTGAGGTATTTTATATATAATAATAAACAGAACAGAATTTATTTATTCAATGATTCAAAAAACTAGGTTTTAACAACAGTTCAGTTTATCACAATAGAAAATTCGTCTTAAATGGATCTCAATTTTTAAATTTAGCATGATCAAAAAAAAAATACAAGTCAAAAATATCTAAAACAGTAAGTTATAACACATATGGTTCTACAGGACTCGCAATATTATTGTATTATATCGCATTCTATTATTGTCTTATATCGCATAGTAACAATTTTTTTATTAAATATTTCTAGTTGCAAAAATCTCTTAAGTTTATATTAATAGATTAATCACTTGGGGTATGGATTAGCTGAGCAAAGTAACTGCTTATAGCTTGGACGTATCATATTTTCTTGAATAACAAGAAAAGATTTCAGCTAATTTGTTTTTTATTCAGTAATTATTAGAAATACAAAAAAAAACTTTCTATGAAGGAATTGTTTTAATAGATCTATACTTTTTGGAAAGATAGTTTTTATGTAAAATTAAATATGTCTGTGATATAAGCAACCAAATATGAATTTTATGGAAAAAATGCTTATTTTCCAATCTTTGGGACTCCAGACGCGCCATTTTCACTTATGCAATTGAACTAAAATTTTACACAGATTATTTTTTAGTAAAATGAACCGATCTAGGGGATGCCGCGTAAAATTCTCCGACTTTCGAAAATTAATGGCACCCTAATGTATTATATTTTTCTAACAAAATATGATATGAAAATATGAAAAAAGTTCATAATTTTAAAAATCGAATGAATTAGTCATCGTCTATTTGGAGCAAAAAAAAATGCCTAAGGAGTGGAATAAGTCTACATCTGTTCAATATTCAAGCAAGAAGATAAGATCGAGTGACACACGACAAATTTCTAACGAATAACTTGTATGAAACAGAGTAAATGCTATCACTGAAAATGATTTAGAGCAGTACAAGTGCGACTTTCGAAAAAGCAGGAGCACAACAGATCTACTATTCTTTATTACACATGTCGAAAAATAATTTTTATGACTTGTCCATAAATTTAAGCAAGTCTTTCAAGTTATAGAAAATGTCATAATGTAAAAATCACTGCTACTACTAAACCTACAAAGAGAACATATAATGATCTTTGTAATGACTTTTAGGAATTTTGACGTGAATATTTGTAAAACAAAACAAAAATAGAAAATTTGATATCTTTAGCATAAGCTTTGGTATAATACAAGACGATATACAGTTATACTTTATTTGGTATTAAACTTTGCACTTTTATAAAAAATGCACTGCGCTCATTTATCCGGTTTAGTGATGCAGGTAACGAACAAGTCGTTTTTGGGACAGAAATCATGGAAAATAAATAAATAAACGACAGAACATAAAATATAAGATATAACAAGTTATCTAAATTAATAAGGGAAAATATTTAATAAGTTACATTGACAGGAAAATGTTATAGATAAAATATTTCGCTAGAATGCCAGAGGATCAGTTACAACAAAATATTCACAATATCTTTCATAACTTAGATGAAACATAAAGCAATATTAATAATAAAATATTAACATTCATGAATAAAACTACACTAAAACGTTCTGCTATAATATTGTACTACAACAATATTTATATAACCGATAGAATTAATTCGTTTTTTTTTTTTGAAGAGGTTGCAGTCTTTAATTTTGTATCTTTAAACCAGAAGTTTAAAGTTGCAAACCTAGCACGATTTGTTTACTTTACCTTGTTTGCATATTTACTTAATTTTTTTTGTTTATAATTTCAAATTTTGCAAAACTGCTTAGTGTTGAACTTACTTGTGAACTAAAGAACTTACTGACAAAGCCAAAGTACTAAAATTACTTAATTATTTCAGCAAATTTAGGTCAACAGACTGCGCTTGAGTCTTGTCTTGTCTTGTCGTTTTGTTAAAATTAAATATACATTTTTCTCCTTTGTATTTTACGAGTATCTACATTAAAATTAAAATTTCACCAATTCGTCGAAATTACACAAAAAAGCAAAAGAGACAATGAAGAAAATTAGGAAAGAAAGTTGCTCAAGAAATTAAGTATATAAAAAAAACAAATAAACTAAATTATGAACTGGTACGACGAAGTTGGTTAGTTAGTCATGCTGATAGTTTTTTGTTCATCTAATAGGGTATCAACAAAACTGACATATGTCTGACAAGTGAATCATACAATCTAATTTTTAGAAAGCAAAATACAAAAAACTAATTAGAATATATATTAAAATCAATGCCTTAATTAATATTATCGTCGAATATTGATTTCGAATTTTGTGCATGAACTAATTGACCTTTTTACTATACTAACTTCAACTGATCAAGTTTATAAATATATTATATTATAATTATAAATATAATATATATTATATTCTATTTTTAAATTAGAATATTATTTATTACAATTGTATTTTAAATTTTTATAGTTAAGATAGTTTCGTTGGTCTTCAGCGCATTACGCAGTAATGCACCACTCAGAACTTCGGTACACCATTGTCTACCTGTACATAATCCCTAAGGTCCCTTAGGTTAAACTTTCTTAAATTTTAGATAATCAAGTTGTTTTATAAACATTACTCGTAGAGAATGAAGTTGATTTTATAACAGAACTCTGTACTGTAAATAATCTTGAATATTGGAAACTCCTTATAAGCACTGGAATAGTTGTTAGAATGAGAAAAGCGCGCCGCATTTTACCAGTGCCCCGTGCATGCCCAGCAGAATCATATCTGTTTTAATATATTTTTTGCCTCTTTGAATTATATAAACGTCATCATAAACAAATTTTTAAGCCTTTTTAAAAATTTCAAAACAGTTTTCTGACCTATAATATAGTAAATAAGTAGACCTAAGTGGATCGCAATCATTTAGAGTCGTTTTCTATATTAATCTAAAGAAAAGTTAACATTTGTGTAATAATATATAAAGATTTTGTACACTCCTTTTTGAGGAATACTTACTTCTTTTAATAAAAGTAATTTTTTTTGAAGAGTACACAAACAAATACCTACAAATAATAATATCACCAATTAAAGTAAACTCCCAGCCTCTCTTAAGTAATTAAAAATATGTTACCAAAATACTTAATACTCAGTTTGGTAAAGAATTTTTAATACAAAAACTTTTTGCTGTTATTACAATAATTGTATAAGTTACAGAAATGCACTTCATATTTATTCCAAAAAAAAAAGGATTGTTCTCATGTTAGTAGGATCCAATTAAAAATAATTGTTTTCATATGTTAATAGAATCTATTAAATATATGTACATATATGTAAAGATGTCACCGCCACGGAGCTTTGATTAATAATATCAAGATTCATATAAAATTAAATCAAGTTTGAAAGAATTTTTTGTTTCTATGGAAAGCACCACCTGCCAATTGTACCAATCTTGAAAAGTAATATCCATTACTGGACCGCACGTTTGATGACGTGAGCATACTGTTACATTACAGTACGCTGTATGCTGTACGGATAGGAGTAAAGGTATTCAGCTAGATGTATGGGCACTGCGTATAGTTTCCCTTTTTCTTTCAATATATGCATGTTTCTTTTATGAGAAACTCAATTATATTAAAATTAGAGCTGTGCATTCCCTTTGACATATTTAGTTTAAATTATAACAATTCTTTGGTAAAACTTGGAAACCTAGTAGTTGGATACCAAGAATATATAAAATTTATTTTCAATAAATTGATTTAGATTTGCCCAAACGTGGATTCAATTATTTGTTGTTACAAACAGTGCATACAGTTATCAAAAACGGAGCATTGCCAATGCAAAAATATTAATTGTAGTAACGAATTCCTCGTGAAACTAAATAATTTAATAGGATCTTAAATCATAGGGTACATATTAGTTTATTATAAAAAAAATTAAATTTATGTAGTGTGATAGTGATTACATACATTATTTACTGGTCATACATACGTTGCTGTTGATTTCAACTACCTAAAGTAGCCTGCATTACCCACATGACACACACACGTATAACAGCTTTAAAAAATTCAAACGGTATTTTACATTTGTTGGCATTGGGAGACATATTGACATTTTATGGAAATAAATTATTTGGGTGCCAAAAACTAGCAATATATCAATTGTTATAAGTGCATATATTGCAGTAAACTTAACAATGTCGAAGCAAATTGCTATTGATATAACTGCAAAAGATAAACCAAAAAAGATAAACTCTATAAACCAAATCTTAACTTGTGCAAAGTTAGTAAGTGCATCTGCAAATTCATTGCAGTCCACAAATAGTATACAGACTAATCCCAAATTTGAAACACAAAATATAAATAAAAACAAGGCAATAATTGTTACTGCTCCATTGACAAATAAAAATGACTGCGAAAAAGTATTTAATGATAATGATGATGCAGAAGAGACTGTTAAGACAAGGACTGGTAAATAGAAAATTTTTTAATACCACATATTTAATTAATATTTATTTAAATCCAATATAGACAAAAAAGAAAAGAGAGGTTGGTGTTTGGATGATTTTCAAATTAGTCGCCCATTAGGACGAGGTAAATTTGGCAAAGTTTACTTGGCACGTGAAAAAATGTCAAAATACGTAATAGCCTTAAAAGTACTATTTAAGTCCCAAATTCGAGAATCTAATATTGAACATCAAGTTCGTCGTGAAATTGAAATTCAATCACATGTAAGACATCCCAATATATTAAGACTGTATGGTTATTTCCATGATGGCGCTCGGATTTATTTGATATTAGAATATGCACCAGGTGGCACATTATACAATGAAATGCGTTCGCAGCCTTTAAAAAGATTTGGTGAATCAAAGTCCGCTTCATATATAAATTGCTTAGCATCTGCGCTCGAATACTTACATGAGCGTGATGTTATCCACAGAGATATTAAACCAGAAAATCTATTACTAGGACATAACGAAGAATTAAAAATAGCAGACTTTGGTTGGTCCATTCAGGAACCGATTTCAACGCGGCTTACTCTGTGTGGTACATTGGAATATTTACCACCAGAAATGGTAAAAGGTACACCTCATAACAAAAGTGTGGATCTGTGGAGTCTGGGTGTATTATGTTATGAGCTTGTAGTGGGATGTACACCTTTTTTAGGAACAAGTTATGATAAAACTTATAGAAAAATTGTAAAAGGTCAATATAAACTGCCTGATCATGTTTCACACGAAGCTGCAGACCTTATAGCAAAGTTATTAGTACCTGAACCAAACAATCGTCTAGCACTAAACAAAGTATGTCAGCATCCTTGGATAATAAGTCACACTAAACAACAAAACATAGAAATAAAAGAGAAAAAAATAATTTGATAATTTCAAATTTATTTTTTAGATTTCAAACATTTTAATTATTTTGTATCTCCTGTAGCAAATTTTGCATTTATTCATATTTGCTTTATTCTAATTTTATCGATCCTAAACCAAATAATAATTTATTGTAATCTTATAATATTAAATATTGTAATCTAATGAAAATTTCATATCAATTTATCACCAATTTTTATATAAGATTAAATTCATAACCATATATATATATCACAAACATTTAAATTGTTCTTGATTGAAGATCGTACTGAACGCTGTTTAGACGGAGCGTTAAAAGAATAATAAGTTTGCTAAGATGTTTACAAGACATTAGGATTAGAGACCATATGAAATATAAATATTCTTGATCAAGTCAACGATATAGAAAGAAATTTTGCGATTATATTGTTTTACAATACATAAATGTTTATAAAGATATTAAAATTGATTTTTGATACAAATATCTTTTATATATAATATACATATTTTTATTAATATATATGTATATATATTTAATTATAAAAACTAGTTTATGATAAACTATATTTATTATACTATATAATGTGTTTCAAAATATTTTTTATCAGTTAAGATTTGAATATAGCTGTCATATAGAAGCAATTAAGTTCATTATACTTAATATTAGATATTTCATATTAGAAATCATAAATCATATTAAAAATGATTTCATTTTTGAACATTTTACTACATTTGTTATTGATATAACAAATTAAGCCACATATTTATTATTTCTACAATCGAATTTAGTTATAAAATGCGAAATTATGATATTAATTTTTGGAATACCAAAAGAAAGTATCAATTTTAAAATTTTATCGATTCGAGATCTGATTTTAAATATCGTTCACAATAACTCTGAAAAAGACAAAGTCAAGGCTAATTTCCTTAATCTGTCAATGAAATCGCACAAATCTTATGTTTTGCCAAATGACCTGACTTTTACTAACGCTATTATTTAACTATTTAACTATCAAATAATATTATAAACATAATAATTATAAAGCCCTATTACGTAATACGTATATTGTATTCATTAGCTTATCATAGGAATTTCTTGAAATATGAATAGTATAAGGTACGTAGAAAGCTATCTTTTAATACTATATATTCTGATCCTGATGATGACACTCAAGGAGAGTCGAAATATAGACTATATTAAAAATATTAAAAAAACATTGAATTTTTTAACAAAAAGTGACCTATAGCCGAATAAAAAAATATATAAAAACCATTAAAAATAGTCAATTCTATTTCTTTAGTCGTACTGTTGCGGCATTTTGCGCTTGGAAAAGATCTTCTAAGAATCAAAATAAAAACAATAGTATGTAGGTACGTATATATTAAAATCCCTACAATGTTTACAATGCTTTAAACAATAATACTGACAAGAAAAAATTAAACTGACACTTGACTAAATATTTAAATAATAAAGGAAATAGTTTCAGTAATAAAAAAGTAAATAAATTCCTAAATGTTAATAATTTTATAATATTAGCTACAAAACAAAACATGTTATATGCCTACATATGTAAGCATATATATGTATATATATTTTCTATTTTTATTTAATTAAAATTTTTTCTAACAATAAAATTAATTTACAAATTCTAAATTTTAAATATGGTATTACAAATATTTGTAAGAAAACTTAATTAATTAAATGCATTATGATAATTGAAATTGAAAACTTTTAACCAAAATTTTGAATTAATTAAATTATTTGTAAAAACTTTTGGAATAATTAAAAAATTTTAATTTTATCAACTTACTTTTCATAAAATGGTACTGCATTGATGCAACCGAACATGACTAAAAATGTCAGCAACGTCAACTTGCCGCATTGCTGCATGTTCCGTTTTGAGTGCAACATCATTTTTTCTTTTTAACTTTTTGTTAGTTTTATTGTTGCTGCAGTGATGTGATTACTTTCAACTTTTTCAATTTGGTACTTAAATTATGCGCTTCACCTAAGTGAAATGTAGGAAAATTGTAATTAATATGAACACTTTCTATGAAACAGTTTAAGATATATTTTTGCACGTAGCAATATAATAAAATAAATCACTCTACACTCTCGCCACAAAAATAATTTTAATTCTTAAATTAAATATTAAGCTGAACTATTTATTAATTATAATAGTGATTGGGATATTCCTGGAATTAAGACCTAATTAAGATTGGTTGTTCCAAAATTTTAATACGAAATTTATTTCTGACAAAACAAAAAATAATTAAAAACGTATGGTCCGACACTTGTCTGCTTAAAACAATATTTATGCTTTTAAAATTAACTTCATTTCTTATACACTGCAAAACTTCACTTTACCATCCACTTCACACAAAACTACTCCCAACACAGTTTAAAACGAACTAATCGAAAGAACGGCTCGGTTGCTCTATTTATACCGTCTGCATAAAATGTATTTGGATTTTATTTCTGTTTTAGCTCTTTTGTTTTTAATTTTTTGCTCTATGAGCTGCTTATTCATTGCTCTGACTGTGCTGGCGCTACATTTTTCAGCCGCATATTTAGTGTAACAAAATGTTCAAGAAATTAGTAAATTTTTAATATATATATATAATACATTGTTCAATATATAACTTATAATACCTTTCATCGTAAATAACTTGTGAACAAAACATTAGAATAATTTTGTCGTTAATATTTTAATAAATTATAATACCCGTTTATTAAACTTTTTATAGTATATTAAGCAAATTGCCTTAAAAGAAAAAGGAATAGATATTTATGATTTCTGTATTAATGTTTAATATTTTCTTTATCCGGTGCTATTCTTCATTCTTTCATTATATGAAGAATAGCTATTAGTTACAGATTTATTAAGAAAACAAGTAACTACTATAGTATTTCTTGTATTTCCATAAAAAATAATTATGTGAAAATTTCATTTTTTTGCTATAACGCCCAAGCGCAGATATTAACTATATTTACCCGCAAAAGTATTTGTATTTATTAAATTATTGTAATTTATTAGTCGTAGCTAATATTAGGATCCATAATCGAAATGTAATGCTAATATAAAAGTAAAACAAAACTTTCTATGACAATTTTAAATACATATAACATAGTGTTTATGATGATTTATACCTTTTTTATTGTAATTTTAACCCTACTAATAATAACATATGTAAAAAATATTACTGAAAATATAATCCGTAACATATTACTTGTAAATTAAATTAATAAAATCTAAAAAAATAATATTTTCGATAATGTAAACGATAACGAAAGAATACATTACTTTGATTGACCTGTCTATATTAAAACGATGCATTATTTTATAAAAAAGTGCATTACCCTCCAGATTATATATAATCGATAATTTAGCTGGGGCATAATAGCACACTCACATAGCAATACGCACAGGTTTACATACAGAGAGTTGCCAATTCATTTTTTTTTCGTCATATAACTGTGATGACGTCACTTACGTGATTTATTTACACATTAAGTATCAAAACAAATTTTATATAAAATTATAATAAAATTTATGTATATATCTTTCAAACTATTGTAGGAAAATAAATTACTTGCATATTTGAAAAAATATGGGACACCAGATATGTATATGTTTATAATCAGCACTATGAAACAAATCTTTTCTAGAGCACTATATCGTATATATTCTTATTCATAATATCATGGTGAACTGATTTAGCGATGTCTATCTATTTATAAAGTCATTTTGAATCTCTACGGTTGCTGATCGATCCAATAGTAATGCATAGTGTTTTACTGGTAACGTCACTATAGCAAACTTAAATAAGTAAATAAGTATATCGAAGCCTACCAGAGTGACATTACAAATTGTTGCAAGAGCTATAACAATACATAGATTAAAGTGCAGTTATTACTCTAAGTCCGGTTATGAGACTTTGTAATTTAAAATTCAACAGCTAAAACAGCTTAGAAAAGGTAGATGTAATACTTTTTATAACTAAAGAGTGATGCATTCCAAGCTGCTTAAGTTTTAATATTTTAAAATAAAAAAATTCCACATACCTAATATTTTAAGAAACTTGACTAAATTGAAATTAAAAACGTGAAAATTGAGTGAGAAACTTCATTTACTTAAAGTTTCATATTCACAAGCTAGTCATAATATTTTCAATAATTAAATATTATATATTGTCTATTAGAAACAATTACGTACATTTAATAACAATACTATAATAAAATATTTCATTTGGTTTTAATTATTTCACATCACAAACATTTCATGTTCTTTTAAAATTAAGTGCTGGAATTATGTTGAAGACTTTGTTTAAATAATAAAATGAAAATAAGATTGCAAAAAGAAATCCAAGTAAACTGAGGCGATTTCGCCAATGCTGTTTACTTTCATTCATCAAATTCAAAATACGTAAGGCCTCAGCTCTAGTTTCAGCAATTGTTCCACAGTTATCAATAACAAAGTGCGATTTTTCACATTTTTTCTCTAATGGCATTTGTGATTCAATCCGTTTGCGTGCGTCTTCTGGATGTAGTTCATTGCGTATCAATAAACGGTTTAACTGAGTTTCAGAGTCACTAAATATAAGTATATGCAAACTTTAAACACGTTAAGTTCAATAATGATATCAAATAGTCTTACCAAGATACAGTAATTACTTTGTAAATAAAATCCATCAATATACCAGTCTCAAATAACAGAGGTAAATCGAGCACTATCCATGCTCGCCCGCTCATGAAATGTTTGCACACATCTTTTAAAATAGCACGGTGTATCACGGGATGCGTAATTTTGTTCAATTTCATGCGTAGATCCTTATCTGAGAATATAAGACGTCCTAACGCGGCACGATTTATTTCTTTATTTGGCAGAAGCATGTCGTCACCAAAAATCTCTCTAATTTTTTCCCAACATGGTTTTCCAGGCTGCACGACTGTTAATTCGAACCAATTAATTTTAATTAAAATTTATTGTATTAATAACAAGCCCACTCACTTTCGCGTGCAATTTTATCAGCATCTATTACTGGGATTCCATTTTCTTCGAAGACTTTGCTGACTGTGGTTTTACCAGTGGCAATGCCACCTGTAATGGCAACTATAAACATAATTTTGAAAAAATTAATTTTCTGGAATTCTAAAATCAAGATTGTTGACAAAATCAATGAACAACAATTAACCTCAACATGACAACAACAATTGAATTGTCCCAAAATTTGACTATACCGAAGCAGCACTTGAACCAAAGAATACAAAGGTATTCTTTGACTTGAACAATGAGCACAAAGGTATGAACAAAGAACATTTAACAAGAACAGAAACTCAATTCTGAACTAAAAATATTTTCAAAAAAATTTTAAATTTTATAATGCGATATGTAATCATTTGCTCAATATATTTATATTTATAAATTATATAGGATATTAAAAAATAAATGTAATAAAAAAAATGGCGTAGATTGAATTTATATCTTTTTTGAGGATCCTCATACAGTCAATCTTTATAAATAATTCCCTACAGTATTCCTTACAAATCAGTTTGTATTACAAATAAAATAGTTATATGTGTTTAAAATATAGGAAATGTTATATGAAGATGTTTGACCGAAAATATTGTGTTTACATTTTTATGCGGCATTTACACTGGCCGAAAATGGCTCATTTTGGTCTAAAATCGAAAATAAGAAGCGAATGGCTTATTCTTGCATAGAAAATTTCAAGCGCGAATGCGATCCATTTCATCACATTCTGTATGAATGCGTCCCAACGGCGTTCGAATTCGTTCCAAATACGTTTCAAATACAAGAGAATACATTGAACATACCCTATATTAAAACCTTTCATGCCATTTTGACAGTTTGAGAAAGCTGTTTTTGACATATTTACAAAAAAAGGTAAACAAATGTTTGGTAGTTGCATTTTATTGAAAACGTTTCACCTTTTTTTAGAACTTATACTTCCCAAAAAGTGTTTAATCGAAATTAAACATATGTTTTCAGTATATATTTCATTCAAAATGAGCCATTTGAAAGTGTTTACATTCGTTGTATTTAATTCGTTCACATTTTAAACAGCTGATTTTTCAACTTGCCTGTTGAATTGATATACCTTAAAATATAAACTTAAAACATATTTTTAACTTCGATTAAATACTTTTTGGGAAATAGAAGTTCTAATAAAAGGTGCATCGTTTTCCAGAAAATGCAACCACCAAGCATTTGTCATTTTCGATTTTTGACCAAAATGAGCCATTTTCAGCCAGTGTAAATGCCGTATAAGACTTATTGTATCTTTTTAAGAAATTTTTATATCAATTTTATATGAGATATGACGCATTTGTGTAGGAACATATACTCAGTTTTTAAAATTCTTTTTTTGTTGGTTGTTAGATTTGATTGCTATTATAATATTATAATTTAACAGACATGTAGCAAAGAAATGAGATATCAAAAGTTATAGATTTACTATTAAGCGACCGATAAATTTTTTGTGATAAATATGTTGTTGTTTTACAGAATTGCATAATTTTTATTTTTATTTGATTACCCGGATGTCATTGCATAAATTCTGTATAGATTTTTTATGGCGAAATTATCTAAACTCTATGCGCTTTACGAGTTAAACCTTAAAGCGATATTCGAAACATTTTTGAACTCATTTTTAATAGTACAAAATAAAAATGTAGAATTTGACGAAATTTATATACATTTTTTATTTTTTACATTCAGAAATTTAATTTTAAACAAAAAGAAAACGTTAAGCTTTTTAGAAACTTAAACTCGTAATTCAAAAATATAAATTTGATTGCATTATTGTGATTTGTCATTGGATTGTAATTTTAATTTCTAACAAAACGAACGCACTACCTTAATAAGTAAAATTACAATTCAAATTATGATTACCATTATCAATTTTTTAATTTGCATTGAAAATAACAACAATTTATATTTAATGATTTATAAACGCAAGTCCTTATATTGTATTTATAGGCTAATAACTACAATATATGAAATAAACAACTAGTCATCATACATGCGACCAACTTACCCCATTACTTACCACTCACTATCTATAAAACTGCTGAACTCTATTACACGTGGATTATAATGTTCAAATATTATTCATTTTCGAAAAATGTTCTTTGCTTTTAACCATTTGATTTTTGTGATGTTCTATTTTTTATAAGTTATGTGGCAACATTACATTTGCTTCGTTAGGGCACCATTTTGTCATTCGTGTTTTTCGCATCGACTGGTTGTGTTTAGAGTCTATCACAGTGCATCGCTAAATATTATATTTTAATTTCATAATATTACAAACAAAATTGCAAATAAATTAAACTCAAATATGGTTGATAAAATTGAAATGAGTTTGGATGAAATTATTAAAGCTAACCGAACTAATAAGACGACCAGGTCAAGAGGAGCAGGTGGAGCTCGTCGTGGTTTTGGGAATCGTACAAACGCAACTGGGAATAGGAAGACTGCTGTAAAAAAATCTGGTGTTGTACTAAAGGGACGTGGCCGTGGTGGTGGCATTCAAAAGTCTAAATTCGCAAGGGTAATAAAATTGAATAATATCGCTTTAAGAATATGGAGAACGATTACTAGATGGAATTCATTATACACCGGTTTTAGTTAATGTTAACTAATATGAAAAGGCATTTAACCAATTTTGATCAGGATGCAGAAGTTACAGTTACAAAATGGCCGGCAGATCTAAAATACAAATTCATTTTTCTGATCTTCGGTCAAGTTAATCAAAAAGAAAAATCGAAATATGGCGAAATAACAAAAACAGTAGAAGAACAGCAGAAGAAGTGAAACAGTTATTTTTGTGCCAAAATATTCAAGAGCATTGTCAAACTAATAAAAAAAGAACATTTTTAAAGTTATAAGATACTAAAAATAGTTTAAGTATTGTTTAATATTTTAACATCTCTTAATAATTAGATTTTGTTTAATTTAGAGGGTGTTTTTAGCCTATGAATTTAATTTGATTATATTTAATCAACTTGCCCGCGATAAAAATATATCGTACCTTTCGTTTATTCGCTGCACATTAGTGGAACGAGTTATATATTTATCCAAATACATATTCAAATTATAAACATTTATTACGTACCAATTAATATAATTCAACACTTCGAAAAGCATAATGCCTCAAGAATTGAAATCCGTAAATCGCAAACTCCAGTAAAATAAAACCCACAAACAAAAAAGAACTTCCTCCAACATACTACTCCTACTCCTTTAGGGTGATGTAAACAGTGCATGGAAACATGATATGTTCGATGGACCTAAACGTGGAGGTGCCTTAAGAGGATCTGATTCATCTAAACTGCTTGTTTCTAATCTAGATTTTGGCGTGTCGGACACAGATATACACGAGCTCTTTGCCGAGTTTGGACCTTTAAAGAAAGCAGCAGTGCATTATGATCGTTCTGGCCGGTCTTTAGGTAAAAATTCTCAATAAAAATTAAAGTTGGTTCATATGCAAACGTTTTTTTTTTTTAGGAACCGCTGATGTTATTTTTGAAAGGCTTTCAGATGCTTATAAAGCAATTAAACAATACAATGGAGTACCTTTAGATGGAAGGCCTATGAACATACAATTAGCTACGTCAGATGTTCCGGTATTAACACGCGGTCGTCTTGGCAATGGCGTAACTGCCGTAAGAAGACGTCAAGCATCTGCTCCAAAACAAGGAGGTATAAACAAGTACGATTGTTAATGTTCTAAATAATTCATATAGAAAATCTTAGCTGCAAATTCTCGTCGAGGAACAGCATTTAATAGAAGGCGTGGTGGTGGTGGAGGGCCTGCTGCTAGTGGCGGAAGACGTGGAAAAGGCGTAGCTCCAACAGCTGAAGAACTAGATGCAGAATTAGACGCTTACGTTAATGATATAAAAATATAAATAAATTGCTGCCAAAACACGAATAAAGCAGCAATTATTGTTTAAGGGATAACTTTAAACCATAAAAGCTTATGTCATTTTTAAATTATATTTATGTGTTAAATATATAATTATGCCTAATCAAAATCAATGTTTTTGCATATATTAAGCAAATTAAAAAAAAAAAAAGCAACTTATTAAACGAAATTATGTCTAATACTAGAAACACTGATATTTTTTTTAAGGATTAAATTAAGCCATTCAAAACATTTGTGTTTAAATTTAAGTAGCAATCCAAGCATTAAATAAAGTGACATAAATTTTGATTTATAAAATTTAATTAATTCTCATATAAAGAAATAAATTATATACTAATTTTTCTATTGGTATATGTACTCTAAAATAATTGTATTTTTACTACAAAGCAAAAATAAGTTGGTCAAAAAGGTAATTATTATTCGCAGAAGAACGTAGAGATTGCATTTTGTGTACAATTTTTAGAAACAATATTTAAAAAAAAATTTATTATCTTTTGCGTGGTTATAATCTTTTGCTTCAAATATAATTTTTTATTTGTAATACATTAATTGTCTATTGTAGAGATCGGCAATTCCATCATTATTATGATAGGGTTGAGTTTATTTTGTATACGCACACATCAGACCCAGTAATTTTATGTGGGTACGGCAATACCCCAGTAACAAAAATAAGAAGTTCAAAGTCCTTTTTTGTAGTAAGTAGCCCTTACACACTTTTACTAACTTTTTTCTGTTCTAGATGAGCTAAAATTAAAGGCCTTACATTCCCGCTGCGCTTAAAAAGCACTGCAGCACAAATTCTGAAAAAGGCATGTGATTAGGCCTTCTGAAATGCTTAAAACAAAGACCTTACATTCTCGCTGTGCAGAAAAGACCTCTAAAGGACTTTAAAAAAGCACATATTCGTAATTAATTATATTTATTTAAACTTCAATATATATTATTTTATAAAAAAAATAAATTACTTTGTTTTAGATTTAATTCTATTTACATTTTTTAAACTAATAAAATTATATAACTAACTATAATTGTTTGGAGGATTGTTTGTATAAGGCATAATTGTTTGGTCAAATTATGCTAAATATAAATTATTATTTATTAACATTGATGACATTTACATTAAATATTTTGATATTTATATATTTATGATATTTATATTAAACTACATTCAGTAAACCATATAAACTCCCTCAATAGCAAATCAATCTTTAATAGCGACTCCAATATTCGTTTGTCTTTTATTTATGATAATTTATCTTTAAACTCACAATACGCATTTATTTCGGGTATGACTTGAATCAAGTCACTTGATTGTTGTAGTTTATTCTCTTTGGCTAAAGCAACCTTTTGAAACCTTCGAGCAGAAAATCATTGGTGGGAAAAAATCTGTCCAATACGTTTGATACAGAAACAATTCGAAGTGTAATTCACTTAATTTGGTCTTCGTAACCAATGATATGTGATATGCTGCATTGTCTTGATGAAAGAGCACTTGTTCCTTCGTTATGTTGGGATGTGTTTAGATTTTTTTCTAATTACATACGAATAACCAAATATAACATTCGACATTAATGTTTTAACTTTTATCAAACAAATTCATGAATAATATACCTTAATATGTGGTTAAGGGCTGTTTAGTTGGTTTTCGTCGGTTTTTGTTCATCCAGCTTAATAGTTTAAAAATCACTTGAATATATCTGAATAGTGCTCAGAATTATTAACTTATTGCTACTTTTAAACATTTATCATGCAATATATCCTCACTTATCAAAAACTACCTCTCAAATAGAAGATTTGTTATAAAATAAACTTCTTTTATCTCCAATGCACTTCCCATTATGGCTTGCTCTACCTGATTTTCCCGGCAGATATGCCAACCAGTGACTGTACAACAACGTCAACATTTGCGGACGACACTGCCATTCTCAGCTATAGCGACGATTCATTCACAGCCACAAAATCAGTTCAAGATCACCTCAACAAACTGCAAAAATGGGTCGATCTCTGCAGAATAAAAGTTAAGTAATCGAAAAGTGCACACATGACCTTCGCTCTACGACGAGATACCTGCCCTGTCCTTCGTATTAATGGGAAAGTAATACCCCAATGCAATGACACAAAATACTTAGAAAAGCACCTCGACCGAAGGCTTACGTGGAAAAAGCGTATAGAAACCAAAGTAATCCAATTAAAACTCAAACAGCAAGAACTAAACTGGCTGATAAACAAAAATTGTAAACTTAATCTCACCCATAAAGTGCAAATTTACAATACAATGATAATACTCATATGGACCTACAGAATTGAACTCAGGGGCTCTGCTTTTCCATCAAACATTGAAAAATTCCAAAGAGCTTAATCAAAAATCCTTCGGCAAATAGTCGGTGCCCCCTGGTATATAAAATACGCGAATATTTATAGAGATCTTCGAATTAACACAGTCACAGATGTAATTGTCAGCAACACACAAAAGTACAAAATCAAACTCAGGAACCACCAAAACCCAGTTGCAAATAATCTTACCCAAATCAATGGAACCCAGCGACTCAAACGGAACTATGTAAACCCGACTATTCAAGAATAATGCCACACATAAAAATGAAATTAGATGAAACTTTGGCTAAGGACAATTAATTATCTGTTTTCTCTTCTAATACAGCAATTAGCAGCGATAGTTTATTGTTAGTAAGTTGAATTTTAGAAGATTCAATAAAAAGCAAAATAAAATTCAAAAAAAAAACTTTTAATCGATTATGCACGGCACCCATTTTGAATATACCTTTCGGAACATCAAATGTTGGTTGGTTGGTTGATTGGAGTGGCGGCCTTGTTTACCCAAGAAAGCCCACTTGAGCACAAATAATGGCCCGTAGTGGTACCACAAGGAAAAGCGATGTTCGTATATAGACAAAGTGATCAGTATACGACCAACGCCCCACAGAGGCAACGACTCCCCTATTAGGTGAAGGAGAACCAACCCGACAGTTCTATGAATCTAGCTAGGTCCTTCACATTGTAGGATGACAGATCAGTCAGATCGGTCAGAAAAGGGGCCCCCAAGATCTTTGATCTCTTTCTGGCTAAAGATGGGCACTGACACATGAGATGGAACACAGTTTCCTCCTCGTCCTCAGAACCACAACCGCGACAAAGGTCATTATAAGGAAGACCTAGTCTCATAGCATGCCTCCCTATTAAGCAATGACCCGTTAGCACCGATACCGTAGTACTGAGCAGATCTCTCTTTAGTTGGAGCAGTTGACTCGTACGCTTTTTATCCAAGCTAGACCAAATCGCCCTAGAAATGTGACAACTGGGCTCACTTGCCCATTGTTGCTGAGCAATGCTTAGATATTTTTGTTTAATTGCCAGTTTAACTGTTGCAAGTGGAACGCCAATTTCTAATAAATGAATATCAGGGAGAAGAGCCCCAGTCTTGGCAAGCTCATCCGCCCTACAGTTACCCGCAATATCCCTATGACCAGGAAAAATGTTGGTAAAGAATAGTGTAGCTTCCGATATGCTAAAGTAGTCAGCTATCTCCTTCAACTTCACCTCATTATCATTTAAAATTATTTTGTAGAGTTTGATATTTTTTGGAGTAAGTTATATACGCAAATATCCAAACTGTTCAGCACCATCAGTGTCTGTGCAAATGCGTTTAAACTCAACAATACACCAAGAAGTGCTTAGTTGCGACAGAGTAAATATTTTTTTAATTAATTAATCAAATTACAAAATTTTTTTTCGACCATCGTTTGGAATAATGCAAATATAGTATTACTTATACTGTTCTTATCCAAATTAAGAATGGACTGAGTTCTAATTCATTTGAACGTAACCGATTTTAAAATACAATGTTGATTTTGTATAAGTGGTGCTGTTTAATAATTAGTCATAAATTTAATATAGTGAAAATAAGTACAAGTTATAGTATGTTAACACTATGAGAATGAAAGTAAATTAAACGTATGCTATAACAGATGCGGTACAGTACGATATATGGTATTTATTACCAATTTAGTTTATGTACTATATGCATGCGCAAACTGATATTGTACATTACGATATGCGGTATAATCAACTACAGCGCAGCGGTATATGGGATTATACAAACAAGGTATAGCTTTATATTACGTTAAGAACTCTTACCACAATGCTGCTGTATTCCAAACAAGTGACCCATTATTATCATCCAATATTTGTTGTAATTGTCACTTAGATATTAGCAATTTAAAAACACATATGTATAATATTTGATGATATTGCCCTGTTATTCAAAGCCAGCTTAACGAATGTTTGTTTTTTCGCGTGTTGACATCTTTTGGTAGTTGTCTTTTGCACGACTTGTATTGTAGTTACCTTTTAATTTAATTATATCATTGAGATATATATATATATAGATATATATATTTAGTTATTTATTATTAAGATTACATTATGTCACAAATATATGAAGCCTAGTAGCATATTATAGCAGTACAAAAACAACGCGCATTTTGTTGATATTCTTTGGTCCCGTTATACTAATGTGTTAAAAATTATTATTGAATAAAGAAAAAGTCTGGTAGCATTAATCTTCAAAATATGCCGCTTGTTTTTTATTAAAGCAGCAAACTTCACTAAGAAAATTGGCTCGCTTGTGTGTTGGGGCTTGCGAATTGTTATAAATTTTTCCGGTAAAATTCTTTGGAGCCTAATCTATTCATGTATTTATATTTTCCATTTCGTAGTTGCCATAAGGAATATCTGAAATTTTAATAAAAGGTTTTTTTTTGTTGCCTTTAGCGATTTTGTCTACTTTTCGCATTTGTGTTGCAGAACTGCAGCTGTTAATTAGCGCCTTTTAATTGTAGAACAACAAACGGAAAATGGTTGATCGAAGCGATAATGGTAAGTGCATCCTTGTCGAAATACGAAAAAAAAAACTAAAAAGAATTTATTTTAAGCCGAATCCTTCGATGATGCCGTAGAGGAACGCGTTATAAATGAAGAATATAAGATCTGGAAAAAAAATACACCTTTTTTGTATGATTTGGTTATGACACATGCTCTTGAGTGGCCATCACTAACTGCGCAATGGTTACCCGATGTAACAAAACAGGATGGAAAAGATTATTCAGTGCATCGTCTAATTTTAGGCACTCATACATCAGATGAACAAAATCATTTGCTAATAGCTAGTGTTCAGTTGCCTAATGAAAATGCACAATTTGATGGTTCACATTATGATAATGAAAAAGGTGAATTTGGTGGCTTTGGATCAGTTTGTGGCAAAATTGAAATTGAGATAAAAATTAATCATGAGGGCGAAGTAAATCGTGCACGGTACATGCCACAAAATCCTTGTGTTATTGCTACAAAAACGCCGTCAAGTGATGTTCTTGTCTTTGATTATACCAAACATCCAAGTAAACCGGAGCCTTCAGGTGAATGTAATCCCGACTTACGTCTACGCGGTCATCAAAAAGAGGGTTATGGCTTATCTTGGAATCCAAATTTAAATGGTAACAGATTTTAACAAATTTAAATTTATTATTTATAATATCTTTGTTCTTCTTAATAGGATATTTACTTTCTGCTTCTGATGATCACACTATATGCTTATGGGATATAAATGCTACTCCTAAAGAACATCGTGTTATCGATGCTAAGAACATTTTCACTGGTCACACTGCTGTTGTGGAAGATGTAGCTTGGCATTTGTTGCACGAATCATTATTTGGGTCTGTAGCCGATGATCAGAAACTTATGATTTGGGATACTCGTAACAACAACACATCAAAACCATCTCACACTGTTGATGCACACACAGCAGAAGTAAATTGTTTAAGTTTTAATCCTTATTCAGAATTCATCTTAGCCACTGGTTCAGCTGATAAAACTGTAGCCTTATGGGACTTGCGTAATCTCAAATTAAAACTACATTCCTTTGAATCGCATAAAGATGAGATCTTTCAAGTTCAGTGGTCACCACATAATGAAACAATCTTGGCTTCGTCGGGCACTGATCGACGTCTTCATGTTTGGGATTTGTCTAAAATTGGGGAAGAACAAAGTACTGAGGATGCAGAGGATGGTCCGCCTGAATTACTTTTTATACATGGAGGTCACACTGCGAAAATATCAGATTTCTCTTGGAATCCAAACGAACCATGGATAATTTGCTCGGTATCAGAAGACAACATCATGCAAGTATGGCAAATGGCGGAAAATGTTTATAATGATGAGGAACCAGAAATTCCGCCTTCGGAATTGGAAACTTGTACCGCTTAATTCAATTCGAAAGTTTTTTTTTATAATTTATTCAACAATTAATGTAACAAAACACGTATGCTTGTATTCAAAAGGAAATTAAAGATATAAACTACAGAAATGATTTTTATTCTATATAACAACATAGGTACATGAAATTTTTTAAGATACGTAAAAGAAACATTTAGGTATTATAGTTTTTAATATTTATTTATACATATTCTTTTACATGCTAATCTAAATAATAAGTGTTAGTTTTACCAAATGCTTTTATTGTTATATCTAATGATCGAGTATTATTGCTGCTACGTTTACATGTTATACAGCCAGTCACCATATCTCCCGCTTTAATATTTTGTGGTTTTTCTAAGAAAAATACAACTTGTTTCCAATGGGTTGGTTTATCCGCAGGTGATGTACCAAACATTATTGGTACAGGTAATTCAAAGTAGGTAGTAAAATAGCCAACGAAAGCAGATAGTTTTCCACTTTTAGTGCATTTTAATTTTAGATTATATGAAAAGTTGGAATAATCAAGGTCAACTACAGCTAGATTTAAATTTGCTATTTCATTAGGTTCGGTTAAAATATATTTTGCTTCAACTATATCAATTAATGGTTCATGTAAAACCTCCTTTCGCATTGTCGACATATTTAAACCATATACATTATCCCAAAATTGTACATGTTGTTTAAATAGTGCATCACTACCGTAGCCAACTAAGCTCATAGTGCAACGGTTTGGTAGTAATATACCTCCTGGTTTTAGGTATTTATTTCTAGCATATATGATACTATCCAACATGCCTTCAAATAAAAGAAAATAGCCCATCCATTCCGATATAATTATATCAAACTTTTCTTGGGGTAGGGTGGTGTCTTCGAGGCGTCCTTTTATCAGTGTTACATTTGGGATTTTGTTTTTTCTGGAAAATTTAATTTACTTAAATAAATATATATAACAAACATTATTAATAATTTTAAAAATAATAATCACAATTAAAATATAATCAAATATATATAGAATTTGTTTTTAATACTTTATAATATCCATTGCATGGTAAATAATATTTGAATTATCTACTCCAACAACTGTTTTTGCGCCAGCTTGCGATGCAAATATTGATAAGATTGAGGTACCACAGCCTACATCAAGAACGGCTTTATTTTTTACGAATTCCTTATTTTTGAAAAGTGCATCACGGTATGTTGTTGTTCTAACGACATCCTAAAATGTAGAAAGACTCTTATTTAAAAAATTTATTAATTAAAAAAAAAAAGTAAACTAACAGATAACATTTCGTGGTGTATGCCAAAGTGTGCATAGCCACTAAAGTAGCTGTCATCAGGCTTAAGAGACGCTTTTTTCGCTCTGATATCATCATTAGATATATCATTTTCCGCAAAGATATTTTTGACGCCGGTACGCATTTTTTCCATATCTTCACTGGCTAATTCAAGTAACATATTTTGTTCACTTATTTTAGTTTTTAATGAGTTAATAATAGTGTACAATTCTTTTTTATTTTCGTTGTTTTGGTTATTTTTATTTGTTGGTAGCTCTAGTAGCTCATCATAATCATACGTTAACCAGGTTTCATAGTCCTTGGGCCTTAAATATTTTTCATCGTCCCATAAAACATCTTGTATCAATTCTAAGTCCTTGGGACTTACATTTTCAGCGCGTATATAATTTATTAATTTAATAAATGAATATTGATCCATTTTAAATTTAGATTTCAGATGTCGAAAGTTTACATTGTGTTCTTTTGTGATATGATCTATAGCTGCGTTTACACCTTTAAAAATCTTACTACAGAAAAGACAAGTTGTTTCATCTTCATCAAATTCCATTTCGGATGAATTACCTTCCGATCCTTCACTCGACGTTGTTGAACATAATTCTTCGTCATCGTAGTTGTCAGCTGAGGCTTCGCCTTAAATAATTTTATATTAACTATATTAAACCTTTCTTAATATATACAATGACAAGCTACCTGCTAAGTCCATAGTGAATTGTGATTTTTAAATGTAAACTAAAAATTTAAACAAACGCATGAATTTTGAAATCAATTGTGTTTTTATTTTGCACGTGTGATTTTATGGCTACTAGTGCTGCCAAACATATTGCTTTTCGCTGGAAATTAGCAATAATTGTTATAGCATATTAAAATGTAATATATTCCATTAATAAAATAATATTATTGACACATAAAAATTTGTTAGATTTTTAAAACATATTTGAAAATTTTATAAATAAATTAGGGCTACAAACAGGTTCTTATTTGCTTAAGTACTGTGATTAACAATACCACCCTGTATATGAAACAGCTGTTAAGCTAAACAATATTTTTCTTGTATAACCTTTCATAGAAGTATATAATCCATAATGTCGAGTGTATGTTTTTAATATCAGTAATAATAATTGTTTTCTAAAATATATTATTTTAGATTGTTAAAAATTTCCTAAAAATACCAGCGCCAAGGTTTATTGCACCATTAAGTACTAAAGCAACCAACACGTTAAATGAAGTCTCTACCAAAACAACACAATCTCCACCAGCATTGGCAGAGAAGGACCGTCTGTATAGTAAATTAGAGATTGAATTGAGAGGCATTGATCCAGCAGTATTAAAAAGTTATACAAAGTATGCCACAACTGCTGCTAATCATTTGGGACTGGAAGTTGGAAAATGGTAGATATAGCAAATTTGATAATCTATTAAACTCTCAATTAACATATGTGAATTTGTGTAGTTGGTCTCCACTAAAAGCCCATCATAGTCGCATGACACTATTAAAATCTGTGCATATTTACAAAAAGCACCGTGTTCAATATGAAGTTCGTACACACTTTCGATATATGAATTTCCATAAATTGACTGAGTCCACGCTAAGTACTTTTCTTGAGTACATTGAACGTAACCTACCTGAAGGGGTTGCACTAAATGCCACCAAGACTGAACTTCAGACTATACCCGAACATTTAAGGCAACCGCCAAGTGATGTCTAAAATATGTTGTAAATATTTATTCAATAATTATAATTTAATTGATTATTTTAATTATAATTAAATTAATAAATTAATTATTATTTAAAACATCTTATTTATGTAAAAAATTAAATATGTACATTTAGAAACTATTCAAAGATCCAAAAACGAACTATTTATGAATTTTCGCCGACTGTATTTTCTTTATTTAATTTTCAAATTTTTCTACATAATTTCCAGCACTCTAGGATGTTTGTAATTTTCACTTACTTAAAAAGGATTGATAAGTCAAACATCAAGACGGTTAATTATATATAATAAGGCTGCAATATTTTTTGGATCAGGATGTAAATGACATTGCATTCACATCATAATTATTTCAAAATACATTTAAAAATATTGGACATGAGAAAAATATGAGAAGACATAATATTCTACGTATTTTCGGATAAAATAATTCAGAAATATTCTTTTCATCAGAGTTATAATATGCACCATCAGAGTTGTATATCAATATTTTGGTACCGTTATACCAATTAAGCCCGATAAAGAAGACTGTTGCGGTTTTGATTTTAAAGCCACCAGTTAAAATATCACATTAATGATTTTAATTTCAATAAGTACTAATCTTTTAACTGTAATGCTGCACCCCTTAAGATTTGTATAGTCGATGTATGACATGTAAAAAAGTTCTTTAGATATATAACTTACTTTTCGTTTATTCTTGCTTAGCTTAACGATTTTTGCTGCATTCTACAGATTATTCAGTAACTATATCCGTAAATTATGGTATTCTCTCTTTTTTTAATTTTCTGGTAGTAGTAACATTTCAATTACTGTGACCGCAAATTTGTTGCCATATATTTAAGATGTTATTCTTCGTTCTATACGCTTGTGATAGTAGTATGAAATAGTATACCAGTATGAGTTTTTTCTTCCGAAGGTTTATTTTTAGACGCTATAGCTTATATTGTATATAATAATATAATAATATAATAATATAATTATATTGTATATATATATATTATATACCCTCCCAAATTTCTGGGAATAGCATATTGAAAAAATGAGAGCGATAGTTCATGGGATCACTAGTAGTAAGGATTGATAGATTGTATGGATATCAAAACAAAAAAGAATATTTGCATTAACAGAATGTATTGACGAAATTTGGATATATAGGTAGGATGCTCCAATTATAAGTTTTTTATTGAACAATATAGGTATATTTTTATATTTAGGTATATTTTTTATTTGGGTATATTTCATCCGTATCAATCTATTATTTAAGTTAATACTTATTGATGTTAATTTTTATTTTTTGTTAATATGATAACAATCGTAACGGTATTTAAAAAAAAATTCCCAAATTTTTTAACAATATTTTATTTATACTTGCAGGAAAGTGTGTTATCAAACTTCCTGGAAAAAAATCAAGAAAACAATGTTAACAATACTTTTTTTCTGACTTAAACTCACTGAATGTATTATGTACGTGCTCATATCAAACTCCATCCTTCGTACGTTAAAAGTGCAGTGGATATCTATGAATCAGAAGAACAGTTCATGACTGAAGCAAAAGAAAAGAAGCTAAGAATCTTCGGAATCTATATCTTAGCCCATTAAATACTTATAAGCATTAAATAGTTTTGGAATATTGAGCAGTAAAAAGATATTGTTTTCCAAATTTATTAGAAAACTTGGCAAATTACCAGCTACCAAGTTTTAAGGAAAACGGAAGTTAGAAAAGTTGAACTAATTTTTAAAACTTTTTACCAAATCTTCATAAGTTAACAGGATCAATTCACATAAAAAGGGGATTTAAAATTGCTTCCTTAACTATTAAATTGTGGAGTGTACGTCAGTTGTTAGGAAACACTGCTCTTGGGCCACAAAGTATATTTTTTTTTTTTTAAACTTCATTTTATTAAATACAATCTATTCTATTCATGAATAATAAGTACTACTTATGGCAATAACAATATATGATTGGCATGTACGGGACTACCCAGTGGTAATCACCGCCTTATGAAGAATTACAATTTCTAGATATGTATATGATATATACAAAGTATATGAAAGCAAAAATTTCACAAAGTATTTCTTCGTTTTTTTTTTGTTTTAATAATTTGCGAAATTTGTACTGTGTATTTCACAGAGAGTTTGGTTATTGATTATATTCAAAAAATTAAATATGAAATTGGATTGTGCTACTGCAGAATTTGCTTTTGCTGATTTGTAATAATAAGCAAGGAAGACTATAATGATAAATTTAGTTTTTTAAAAAATATAAAATTAAAATTTAAATATCCTTTAAAGTGAAAAAATTAAAATTCTATTTCTCTTCCAGAAAAATTTTTAAATTTCATCGTTGATATGCAAATTTGTTTAATCCCGAATTAAGTGGTTAAAATAAGCTCAGAACTTTTATTAATTACAAAAAAATTTTTTAGAGAGGCCAATTTATACAACGTTTCAATCATTTTGTATTGAGTGCTGTGTAATAAATAAAAATTCTATTATTGAAGACGATTAAATAAATATATCTCTGTATAACTGGAATAAAATTAAAAATATCCGTAATAAAAACTTTTAGAACATAAGAACCCCCTATCTACTTTGCTGCTACTCAATAAAGTTAAATACCACCACATTGGAAATGATTAGCTATCAAATTAGTTACGAGAAATAAATTTTTATTGGCAGATAATTAAAGGCATTATACACGACCCCCAAAGACATTAGAGTAAATATAAATATTCGTATTTATTATGAGTTATAACAGGTACGATTATCACATTTTTGATGATAATCGATTTATTTTAAAGATAACCCATTTGACGTATGTATTTTTTTTTTGTAAATGAACTATACATTCATAAAATATAAGTACATTTTATCATTTTCTTGATATAGATTTTATTTCGTGCAGTTTATTGGTTCAACAAACATATTTGTTTTTAAAATAAATAAATGTTTTCATAATCAAAAAGTTGTCCTTAACCTAAAAGTTAGTTATATCAAATATAAAGTGAATCCATTTGGATTAAAAAAATATACTGTAGTGTAAGAGAAACACTGAAATAATTTTTCACTTTTCGTGGTGCTACAAAAAATTTACAAAATTATTTTAAGAAAAGATGGTATAATTGGATATGTATATTCACTTTCGCCACATACGAATCAAGGTCCAGATTTATATTTTTTAAACAAAATTGTGCATTATCAAATTTAACAAAGGATATCTAAAAATACACTAATAAAATTGGAATTCATAACAATACTCCGCAAATAATATGTTTTATCTTCCTTTTATCTTATCTTTAGAAGTACATTCCATAATTCTTAAATAGTTTATTTTATTTTCTACATAATTGTACCTAAAATTAATCGATTTTTCTTATCTATTATACATATATACAAATTAAATAGTTAATTATATATCACTAAATGTTCAGTCATGTTTTATTGTAGTATCTTTACAATCAGCTGGTGGATCATCAGGCCCAAAGATTGGTCCATCACCACCACTACCAATCATTTTAATAACGTCAGCTAAAGTGTATTGTCCTATGAAACCATTAATTTTCTACAAATATACAAAGAGTTAATTTTAATTTAAAATTTTACAAAACTTAATATATACCTCTTCTGCAAATTCCTCCACACTTTCATTCTTCCATACCCAGGCGTCATTGAGCAATTCTATACTCATTTCATTAACCAATGCATGGAAGAAATCGTTAATACGATCTTCCTCTATCAGATTCTCGAAGTTAATATTAATATCGTTGATGGATATCTATAAATATAATTATGTATGTGTAATATTTTTTAATAGTTTCCTCTAAATATATATATCAAATACAATGATCTCACTATATATGTAGATTATATATATTTTTAAGAGTACTTACAAATAAAGATTTAAATATAGTACATACATATGATATAATTTTAAAACTACTCCAAACATATTGGTGAAGTTGGACTAAATATATGATAAGGCTATAATCTTTTCTAACTCAAAACACAGTAACGCTTTATGCTTAAACCATTAAAAAAGAAAATGTCATTGAATATGCCGTTAAATTTAAGGCGAGAGCAAAAATATTCAAAAAAGTAAATTACCACTTTATTTGGAACAAATTATAATAATTAAAACACAATATAAAACCATATGCATCATAACTTTTTATTTTGGAGCAGCATTGATGAAGTGTTACAAACATCAAAGACAAATTGGATAATTTTGATCTTTACTGATACTGGTAGTTAGGGAGATTTACTATTTCATCCAGATCGAACCAGATTTATGGTATTTATTAGTAATTACATAACTGTACATGTTTAATTTATTATTGTTATATCTATAAGCAAGTAATTGCTTATCTATTACTTCAAATTTTAATAATAAAAAAAGAAAACTTATATCTAAAGTGTCAGTTAAAAATATGATCGATAAGCTAATATTTAAATAAAGTTATGTGACATCGTTTCAATATTTAAAAATAATCTATTTATAAAATAAATCAAAGTGTGCCACTTTATAGTCTCACAAGGAAGATAAAAAATTCTTTAATATTGGTTAATTATTTTCTATAAGAATGGAAGGGTGTTGATAAACAGACTTAGGTCTTATATGGGCTGTGTAGTCACGGATAAATAATTTCCAATTACTAAAAAATATTTAGCTATTAGAAGTTTTACTACTCTTCGTTAGTTTTAAATCTCTAGGATAATCCATTTGTTAAATTAAAAACTTACCGTAAGTTTTAAACTGCGTATACCCAAATATATGCCAGTTTTAAAAATCCATGATGCAGAGAAACGTATTTTATCGACATAAGCTCTATAAAATCAAAACAAAATATCACAATTTAATATAAATACTTAATATTGAATTATGATTACTTACTCTGCATTTCCATCCCCAGCTAGATTAACAATATAAGCCAATGATCCTTTAGCTGTGTAAATTGATTTGAACGCAGTTAAAGGCATAGTAAAATCAATAGTCGATCGTCTTAATGGCACAGTCGTTATTTTAAAATCATTTATAATAAAATCTGAAAGCCCTGTCAAACGGAAATTAGTTACCGAACCCTTGAAACTGAAAAGCTACCGTTTGAATATTTACTCAATTAGAAAAATATTGATATACTTACTCAATTACGTATTCATTGTTCATTTGATATTCTGCATGCGATATTTGGAAAGGATCTAAAGCTGGTAGGCCAAATTTCGGGATTGGATGACACATACGTAATCTTAACTCCTCCAGAAAATCTAAAACTGCCGATTCTCCAATGGCATTAGTTAAGGATATTGTAGATACAATAATTAGGAAGAAGCTGTAATAGTTGATTTGTTTCATTTTTTTGCCTATTGATTTTATTATTTTATTCTATTTCACTCAATGCGAAGCACGCTACTAAATGTCTATTACCGCTTCTGTTGCTTTTTAATATTTGTGAAAATTATTTTAAATAACTGCGACAAAAGAGATTAAAGTAATGTAATCTTTGCGATCTTATCGTAAAAATATTTTTTCGTTTGCATAAAGTAATCATTGTTTTGCAGACCATTTTTTTTGACCTGAAGTAGTAATCTTAGTGCTATATATGGATTAACTATAGTAGATTATTGAATTCAAAAGTGAAGCGATTATCGTTAGGTGTAATAAGATAAATAAAATATTTAAATGGTTAAGTAAAATTCCTAATAATAACTTTTGTCCTTTGTAAAAAATAATTGCGAATAATAACAGAACTCTTAGTGTCCTTTCTTTGTAAAACAATGCATACCGATACTCTAGTAGTTCGAGTATATTCAAATTCGAACATTTGGAACGAACGTCTCAAAACTTCGAGCTGGTCGTATGTCGAAATTGCTTCATATGGCAAGCTTTTTTGTTTTGCAACTAATTTCATTTCACATTGCGCTATGTAATATCTATTAACTAGTTAACCAGAAACTTGCATGAATCTGTTCCAATTGATCGTATGATAGACGCTGTCTAAACGCAACTCATATCTGCACACTAGCAGCATACACCTGAAGAGCAACTATTCGCACAGTTTGATACAGTGTACTCTGATGTTTCATAAAAGACAACGAGTGGATGGTTGTCATTGATGCTATACAATATTTTCTGTGTTTTATATGTTTGCTATATATTTGCTATAAATAATGTATTTAGAAAGTGATGAGTACAATACATTAAAAATACAATATTCATAAAATTTTTTAGGATAATATTTGCATAAATTTTAATGTATGTTACGACACGTTTCTAAAAAACTAATTTGTACCATAGAATAGTTAACAACATGAATTAAATCTTCAGAAATGATTTCATTAGGTCGCAATAAAAAATGAATACTTAAATTTCTTCAAAAATCATTAAATTATATATTTAAAGGCATTATTTTTCACGTTAATATTAAATAATAAGTATTGATGCAGACTTTGAACGTCGGACTCCATTTTTTAATTAATGTAGTAAAAATAAATAATATAGATGTCACCTGTTCTGCACAGGTCATTTGCATTACAAATTATGAAAGAGGAAATTTATATAAGATTTATTCTATATAAGAACCATTACAAAACCAACTAACTATCTGTTAACAAGCATTAATTAACGAGCGAAAAGACATGCCATCACACGATTCGCAGTTGCTGTTGGTAAGAGAACACTCAAAAAAGTTGTTGGCAAATTAACGTGAACTATTCGCTTCACAACATTGTGCTCTACTATATAAAGATGTTGCTAAAAATTTTTGTAGTGGAAAGAAATTGAGTAATGTTTGTTTGGTATAATATCCTTATATAAATCTAGTAAATAACATGTTTTTACTCCTGACTGTTTGGTTTGATTGGAGAATAATTTTTTTATATTTTTTATATATATTGTATACATATATTTCTTTAAGTATGTATTTTACTTATAACTATTAATATTTTTATTCATATTTTGCAATATTATATTTAAAATAATCTTAGCATATTTAACATATAAGTAAAGAATTACAACTGATAATTATACTTTGAATCTTTTTTGAATTTTAGTTCAATAAATTTATTAAGTTAAGTTCAAGTAAATTATGTACAGTACGAAATGAAAGTTTGCTTTAACAAACACTGTTTTTTTATGAATATGAAAACACATTATAATAAAATTTGTGGTAAGTTTTTTATTTGAGATTCACTTTTAGTGCAGTGATCATGTTTTTATCAGAATTATCATAGTAGCAAGATAACCCTAAATTAACACCTGCTTTATATGACTTCACAAATGAAGTGTGGTGTGTTTCGATTTATGATATATATAAATGTCTACTAACACTACTACACAAATGTTTGATTACTCTAAAAGTATCCGAATGGGCAACAAAATTTAACAGATCGAGAGTAAATCTAGATTGAATCAAATTTACCAATCGAAAATGCCATTATAATGTATTCGTTACAATATTATGAATTGGTTTGTGTATATAATGAATTCACTTGTATACAGAATCAATTGCTTTGTTAATTATGAGTTCAACACAAAATTATCAAGAAAAAATTATTGTTTATTTCAATCAATATAAATAATAAATAAAATAATCAATAATAAATAATGTTTAGTTTGAGTACTTTGAAGAATAAAATTTGCTTAATTTATTATAATAGAGCTTGAAGACTCTATTATAATATATAATATATATTATATTTATATATATTATATATTATATTATAATCAGCATATAATTTCCTTGTGTGCAACTCTACCAATTCGATTTATATGTGCACTCTGCCTAAAAGATTTCTGAGCCAAAATATTGTAGTACAAAATGTGCTGAGTGGATATAAACAGAAGAACTAAGTCAGTGATTTTAGTAGCTTTTATTAAAAAAAAAAATTTAGTGGTTTTTCAAATAAATTGCAATTGATATGAAGGGAATAGTGCAACGTGTGTCAGCAGCAAAAGTGACAGGTAATTTTTTCTTTGCAATTTAATACTTCAAAGTGTAAATGAAGAATATATTTTATTTTGAAGAAAAGTTGGAGATGAACTTGTTAGTAGTATTGGACGTGGTTTGTGCGTTTTGATTGGAATAACGCACAACGATACGGAGGAAGATGTTGAATACTTGTAAGTATCAAATTAAATATCGTTGGGCAAATAAGAACAATTATAAAAAAATAATAAGTGTATTGATTTAATAATTACTTAAAAATGCCGACATGTCTTCCATAAATGCGGATAAAATTTGTTACACGTTTAGAGTAATATTATAAGATGACAGGCTTATGAGTATAAATACTATTAAAGTTTGCCGTTCGTAAGACAAAAACAATTTTTTTTTATTTGTTTGGGACTCAAGCCAGTGTTTTGAGGCTTTTCCATGAAATTTCTATCTAAATTTGTTCCCCATCAAGTGAAGAAAAAATTTTGTTACTCTTCAAAATTATTTTGGTGTCTATCAACGTTGGTAGACAATTTGAACTCGAACGATACGAAGATGATGGTGCCTGGATAATTTAAGGTAGATACCCACTTTTACTTTAAAGCCGTGTTTGGCACAAAAAATGTTCTTAGTAATGCAAATTCTAATCAGATAAGAAATATGTTAAATCATAACCAGGACGTAAATGAGAGAACAGCTGCTTAAAATCGGATGTTTTTGTGATAACCTTCCGCTTTTGCTAATGTTGAATATAAGAAGAAAATGGCCATCGAGTCTCAAGCCTATATACTTTTAGAACCCTCTAAATCACCTGCTTGAATGTGCAGCATCGTGTTAGAATACCAACGCAGAAAAACATAAATGTTATGATGTAATTCATTTTCGAATAAATTTTATGATTACCAAAAAACATGATTTTCGCTAGGATTGGCTTTAAAATATTCACAATCATAAACTATTGCTAACACTTCATTTTTTATGACAGTAATTAAATTGTATATGAGTATGAGTACCATGTATACTCCAATTTTGATGTACTGAATACAAATTTTAAAAATAAGTTTATATTTTTATTTATATTACTCGGACGTTTCCTTTTTCGGCGTTGGCTGTATACTGATTTATATCTATGTACGTACCAATGCTATTCCTGTGGTACCACAATGGGTCATCATTTCAGCTTAAGTGAGCTTTACCTACCTACCCTATGGCTCGGAAATATTTATTTGAAGTGAGAGAGAAACGTGAAATATATATATATATATATATATATATATATATATATATATATTTCACCAAAAGCTACGTCAATTCATGCTTTTTTTAATCTGTTGCAGCGATGTGAGATACCCATAATTTTTTATATATATGTGTAAGAAGCAGACACTCGATAAAATACTATTGAACACTAAATAATCATAATAATCCGACACGACAAAACGGATGTTATTGAAACACTAAAAGGTCTTCTCGTTTTAAACCCTCTTTTAAGTTAAACTGTAATTAATGTTTTTTAATTCATTGGAATTGAAAATTTTCTTCTAATTTTTGCAGATATGAATAAATTAATTTATTTTCTTTATTGTATTTAAACTATTAAACACAAAAATTACAATTTTTCATTTAATATATATTTAATAAATAAATAAATGTGAATGTGTATTCAATTTATTTGTAGAGTGCGCAAACTTTTATCTCTACGAATATTCGAGGATACATCTGGGAAACGATGGCAAAAGAGTGTCAAAGATGAAAAACTCGATATTCTTTGCGTCTCCCAATTTACGCTATACCATAGATTAAAGGGAAACAAGCCAGATTTTCATATGGCAATGCAAGGTGAATCAGCACAAAATCTATATAGTACGTTTATGCAGCGTCTGGGAAAAGAATATGATCCAAGCAAGATAAAAGGTAGTATTATTTATAACTTTGTATAGCATTGACAGTATAATTTTGTTGTATAGATGGAAAATTTGGAGCATATATGCAAGTACATATACAAAATGATGGTCCAGTCACTATCGAATTGGAGTCTCCCGTAAAGAAATCAAAGGAAAATAAAGAAGAAAGTTAGTTATTTTTGAACACTAAAAAAAAAAGAATAAACTATGAGTTTATAACAATCTGTGTGATTTAATTCGAACGCTTTTATTGTAAAAATGCTAGGACAAGATGTCAGCAGAGCTATATTAAAAACAAAAAAAAAACGAGTTTTTTGAGAAGTGTGTTACAAAGACACATAATATACAAAAATATTACTTTGTTACAAATATTTTACTATTATGCTGAGGCTAGTTGAGTCAGTGTTAACTGTAATTACATACATAACAATTATTTAAAAGTAAATCAAATTTTTTTTATCTTATATATATATGGATTGTACAATAGCAAATGATCTCAAACTTTTAGCTTTTAGTCTGCAAGCACAAGTGTACTTGAAAATCGCAATGGCCAATAATCGGGCAAAGTTCAAATAATACTTGAAGGACTAATGTATGTAAATACACTTTCAATTATAAATTTTTTGTAAATTCTAATGGTGAACATATAGGACAATAAAAATTATCTCAATTGTAATTGTTGGTACTTTGATTTTATAATTCTATAAGTTTTATGCCTGATAGTCAGGCTAGTGTATATTTGAATGTTGATTAATATACAACTGGAAAGTGAATATTTTTAGTTTAACATTGTATGGGAAAGAACCCTCATATACAAAAGAACTAACATTGATGGGCCAACAAGATTTACACCCCGGAATCACTAGTCTGCACAGACGTCTAAGTCTCGTTACTGCACCCATCAAGGACCCATACAGTCTATTGTGTGGTCTACGACATGTATAATGTTTGTAGTGACTTTAAAAACCCGATGTTAAAGATTTAAATAATAATTTGAAACATACCTTTAGCAGTAGCAATTGCAACATTAATTTTTGTTAGAAATTGTATCTATCATAATTTTAAATAAAAATCACTACAGATATATTTTGTAATAATGGTTTATTTGTGAATATGATGTATCCGGAATGATCTGGATAACTTGATGGCTTAGAATGGCAATTTTTTTATTGGAGTTTTATGTATATCAATGGTGGTAACAATGAAGCAATGATTATTTGTAATTTTATAAAAGTCTGGCTTTTGTAACGTTGTTCTATCTAGAGGATTACAAATTAAACGTTCGCGGAAGAGGCTCTTATATAAGTCGAAACCCTCAGCCTCTCAAATCCGCCTCTGCGCTTGGTTTCATTAACGACATAATCATGCGATATTATTCGATTGTCTGATTGCTACCAAATGAGACATTAATTTGTTTGTCTGAAAAAGTCTTGTTTGACTTTCGTTCAAACAACTCGTCAATTGAAGATCGTCCACTTCTTTAGGGTTATTGAAGTTGTTAAATATTATATTATATTATTATGTATAAATAATTTGTTTGTATTATTTTGTATGAATAATTTGTTGTAATAATTTCATTTCAAATATATTTTGTTGTAAAAAATAATTTTGTCAATGCAATGCCCAAAAACACGTTATACGCTTTGTTTGCTCATGAAAACAAAAGCGTCAAATTTCGTCTACAAGAAAATGCACTCTTGCAGTTTGTAACAAGTTCATTGTTTGGCATGCATGGTCAAGGTTATTTTAGTTCATTTATTTATTGTAAATTGATTATTAATTTTAAATAAAAGGCACAATTGTTGACAGTTCAATTGATGCGAAGCCACATTCGTTATTAATTCATTGCTTTATTTATCGCTTTGTAAATTTAGTTCAAGTGCTAAATTTACGTCACATAAGCGCCTATTCACTGGATTTAAGTGTTCAGTGACTAGGATAATTAGGACAATCGTAGAAATCTCTGGGTTCAAGTACTCAGTGGTTTTCTTGTTTAAATAGAATCAATATAAGTACTGGATTCAAGTGTTCAGTGCTTGCAAATAGTTGATTCCAACGTTGATCACACATTTTGATTTGATCGTACAGAAGTAACGACACATATATAAAATGTTTTATAAAAATAATTAACTTATATATATGTGATGCGATGTAGTGGAGGAAGATAAAGGAATGTTTAAGACACGCGTGGAGTTTACCAAAATAAGGTTGAGACCCATACAAGTTTTTTAAATAAAATATTTAAAGTGAGATGATTAAAACGCAGTCAATTTAATTTTAAGTTTATTTTATGAAATTAAACAAATTTATGTTTAGATTTTACATAAGTATGGGTAACATGTGTATGAAATTCATTTTATGTGTGTGTATACAAATTATATATTTGCTGAATATAATATAAAAATTATAATTTTAGAAGATATTATAAAATTAAATTATTCTGTAAGTTTCTAAATGTCGCACTAATTAATTATTATGCAACGAACATTTTAATTTACATTCGCTAGTATGAATGATTTTTTTTTTTAAATATAATATAATATAAAATATATGTTTAGATTAATATAAATATTAAATAAAATGAATCGATGCAGAAATTGTGATTAAAATAATTTTATGAATAATATTGATGCAAGCTTATTAGAGCTTATTAGATTTTTTTTGGAATTTTTAATATTTAAATATATTTTATAAGGAATATGATTTCATTTTGGTGACTGCTATTGTTTCGTATGTATTTCTTTTAAAATGTTTAACTCGTTTAAAATAATTTTTAAATGATTTTAGCAAATAAATTTAATCCAATTGGAAAGTATTGATTTTAAATAAATAAAAAAATTTTGCGCAAAACTTTTATAGTTTCTGAAATTTTGAGCCTTTTTAAATTTTTAAAAATATTTTAGCATATTCAAAATGAGTTACATAAAAAGAGCATCAGTCGAGTTAAATATATAATTTCTCTTATTAATTTTAATTAATAATTAAAACATTTTGAGGTTAAAATTAAATTACATAAAAATTAAATTTTATAAATAAATTTAACGTTTCATAATTGGATCGATCTTCAAAAATGTGGATTTATGCCTGCTGTACATAAAATTCATTTTTTCCATATATATTTTTTTTCGATTACTCAAAATATAACTTTATAGTTTAGTATTTTTGTGACGGTTTAGTGGATTTAGTTCTTCTTAGAAATGTAATGAGCTAATGTCGTATTTTCGGCTTGTTTATTCCTCCTCTGCTGATTTTGCTTTTGATTGTTGGTATTATTATGTCATTGTTTGTTTTTAAAAAATAATTTTGTTTCCTTCATTGGTGGAAGAAAAAACGCTTGCGCGCAATTTTTTTATTTTTTGTTTTTGCACTGTGATTTTTACCAGAGTCCGGATGAAAAACCACCTGGAGGAATACGATTTTTGTTGATCACTTCCCGTGCACCATTAAGACTCGGTGTTCCATCAAGAGATGGTTTATTGTATCCTTCACCAGTAACTGGGTTACCATCTGTGAAAAAAAAAACAAGTAAATAAAATATTTTCTAATTATTTTAAGTAAGGTTTTATGATTAGATATAGAGAAAAGGATAAAAATTGGATATGGGACTTTATGCGCCTGTAAAGAATACATTATGATTGAAATCAATGTATTTGTTTAAATACAGATAAAAAGATAAGTTGGTAAGAAATATTTTATTGTCGTTATTTTAAAAATATTGTCGATCATGAGTTCAGAGTTTCTACAAGTTATTTCTAACGTTTCTTTTTCATTTGAATGGTATTATGTGATTAAAAAGTCTTATAACACAAATCGATATACTTAATTAAGAATCTAACTTAATTTACTTGCAGAACTAACACAAATATTATATATACAACTACTATATGCAGTAGGTTGATGCTCGCTCCGGAGTTTCTGATTAATGACGTATATGTTGTCATATGTTGTTATGGGCAATCACATAAATAAATACATATAAGTCTATTCTAACCTCGACGACACTTTGGTGTTACTGGTTTTAAGCCTCCAACGCCATCACCATCCAACCCCATACCAGTGATTGGATTACGTGAAGATGATCTCTCATCTTCATTGCACGGTTTTTGGGGTTCTTGTATTATCTTTGGCGGAGACATATTTATTAGTGAATTGGGATTATCAGTGTTGCATCCAGTCTCATTATTTGTTTGTGATGCAGCATCCCCGGGACCACACACAGATATTGACGGTTGAATAACTTTATGTGTAGTTTCTGTTCCGCTTTTATCTGTTTTTTCAGGTATAACATCTTTTTCATTTATTGTTTGACTATCTTCTTTACAAGGAAAATCAATATCAAGTGGTTTGGGTGGCTCTGGTTCTGAACTCACCTCCGGTGGTGTAACTGGACAGGCTAGATCGGGAATAATGAGGGGTTTTGCAATGGCTTGGGTTGGTTCTTGATCTAGGAGGTGAAGAGGGAAAAGGATAAATAGGATTTAAGAATAATACTACAGATTTTGAACTTGCTTTACTTACTAATCATTTTGCGAAATGCTTTAATTGTGCCAGTTGAAAAGCAATTGCAGCGTGCAAATGAAATTAAAATGCCGAATATCAGAGTAGAGATTCTTTAATTTATTATTATATTTTAATTTCAATTTCAGAACTGGTGTAAACAGACTTGAAAAATTCTGTACTATTTAATATTTCTTATTCATTTTTTTTTTTAATATTTATTGTTGTTCTAAAATTTAAACGCAAATGTTGCTAAGGTTTTTTTTAGGAATATAAAAATATTTTATAATTGTTTTATAACTTATTTAAGAATGAATTTAAAAACTATAATACTAGATCGAATGATATTATAAAAATAAATAATAATTCTAATAATAGTGGAAAATTTGAATTCTTATTTCTTAGATGTAGCGTTTATTTTGTAAGAAAATGTATACATTTTTTTTTAAATAATTCACTTTTTGGGTTTTTCTTTTAAAATAATGATAATTTTTTTAGTCATCATTTCCCATTTAAAGCTACTAAAGGTATTTCAAAATTCCAGAAAACTATTTGCGAAAAGTAGATACTAATACTTGTCACAAACCATTTTAAGACTATTTAAATTTTATTAAATGTTATCAGGGCAGTGTTGTAGAGATCGGAAATCAAGTTAAATTGATGGTTTAATATCAGGACCGTATGATAAATATATCACTAGCAAAGGTCTCTCAAATTTTACCAGGTCGTTTAATTTAAATGGGCTAGCGTCTATATTATCGAACACCAGACCTTTCTTTTCATCGAATCCGGTTTTTTTTCTAAATTCTTGGGTAAATGACAACTGGCAGTAGAGATTCAAATTAATTTTCACATTTAAGTTTGCAGAAGGATAACAGAAATTGTTTGTGAAACTGTATTTTCATCAATAAAGGTTTTAACATAGCTAGAGACAGTAGCAGTTTACATTCCATTGAAACTTTCGTGTTTCGATCAATGGTTAATGCAATTTTAAGTGTCTAACGTTTTGAGAATATATGAGAATATATGAGAATGCACACATATTCCATTTTAAATGACTTGTTTATATTTTATTACATTGTTTTATTGAGCTCTTTGAATTTAATAGGAGAACAAGTTTATTTATTAATAGTGAATATAAGTTGATTTCATTCCGTTGAATTTGATAAGTTTGACAGTTCCCATTGAAGTTTTGAATGAATCTACGTTTGGAGAAGTATCTACTACTAAAGTGACTGTATAATCACCAAAGTTTCCATAAACAACTCTTTTATTATACATTTTGATTTAATCACAGTTACAAGATTATGATTAACTTTGGTTATGTCGAGAACTAGGTGACTGGTATTATGTTTTTTTGCTAGGATTAATTTTGATATTGTCGAGAACAAGGTGACTGGTGTTATGTTTTTTGCTAGAATTAATTTTGATATTATTTTTATTGATTTCCTTAAGTCAGTAAGCAGCTTGCATATACAAAGTGAAAAACATTTAAAGGTACTTATTTGTTTTAGTGTAATAAAAATCTCCTTACATAATTTATAAAATGCTTTGATCATAACTTTGAACAGTTAAAACGTGTTATCGATATTATATAATAATTATTGCCAAATATAAGTCGGTAAGCCAGCTTATATAAAGTAATAACCTTTTGCAGCTGCTAATATAATATTGAACGTAGTTCAATTAAAGTCTCTTTAGATAAAATATTTCATGCAGTTTAGGATAAACTTGCCAATAAATACTATTAAAAGTGTAATTCTTTAAGGTGAAGGAAAAGTACCATTTCAAGGGCACGACAAAAGTTCAAGAATAAGAAAGAACAGGGTACAAGCTCCCATTTGAGCAGACCACCGCGACCATGATTGATCTTTTGTGCCACAACAGACCCTAACTGAACAAAAGATATTCCGCCTTTCGAATGAAGGCCAAAATGTCGGTTGTTGAGGACCTCCTAATGTCGGAAGGTGCTAGCAATTCCCGACCCAGTGATCTCCTCCTGGCCCAGATCAAAGCTGGGCTGGACAGAACAAAAGTTCAATGTCTAAAGACATTATTTATTAAGTGTGTACTACATTTATTTCAGCTGGTCTACCATATTAATTTTCTTTATTCTTATTTTATCTAACCGTATTGGGAATTTACTTAAATCTTAATAACTATAGACAAATAAAAATACGGATATTTTAAATTATATTTAAATTGGAATCACTATATAAATGAAATGCATAAGCAATAAAGAAAAGTATAACAAATAAGTTTTATAATTATAACATTTCTAAAATCAAATATTAACAAAAAAAACATATTTAATAAATTTTATGGGTGCGTTTTGATTGAAAACAAAATGAGCAATTTATTCCGGAAGCGATATGGTAAATATACATATAATATTTTGTGTAAACATTTGAGCTGTGTAAAAAACATATTAAGCATATACAAAACAGAAGCTATAGTTTTATTTACCACATATGGTATAGGTATATGTACAGTATGGCCTCGATTAATGCAACCCCCAAATATCGCAACTCCTCGGTTATTGCAAACTTTTAAATTTTCCCTGTATTTTCCTCTTTGCATTCTTAATATTTTATTTGTCACTTATGTGTATTTATTTGGTCTCCTGTACTCAATCATAGGAATTTGCGAACACACTCTCGCTGCATAAGAATATTATGATATCATGAAAATATTTCAGATGGATTATCTATGGATAATGTCTCTCTTGCTGAACAATTTGACATCGATTCAGACTCTGAAACTGAGACCATGTAATTACACTTAAAATCAAAAATGGCGTGGCAATATATGCACTTAACACATGTATACAATGGGCTGAGGAAAATTCCATACCTCTTACAAAATTTGTAATACTTAATGATCTAAAAAATGAAGCATTTACAATGAATCTTAATTGCAATAAAAAGCAAGTTGAAATAACAAGTTATTATCATAAAGTATGATTGCAAATATGTTGTTATATATAAAAATAAGTAATCATATTATTTTCTAATAAACTTTGTTTTAATGTCTCTGTATTTGATTTAAAAATTTTATATGCACTTAATAAACTAAACTCGATTATTGCGACAGCCTCGATTATTGCAACACCCTCGCGTTCTATTAGTTGCATTAACCCATGTCATACTGTATATTGAAGCTCAATAATTCTCACCTAGTTATAAGAAGAGTAAACTTTAATGTAACTTCACTTCATATAAAACTTTTTTAAGAACTTATTTTTTAAAATCAAACAGTGGACTTTCCTACTACTATATAGACAAAACAAATGCATACATCTTCATTACTAACCTATTTTGGAGAAACCATTCATCTTTAAGTTTTCTGTGGAAGATGACACCGATGATGAAGCAGATGAAACAGAACCAGCTTTACCATTAACGTGATGATTCAGTCCGTTACCATTGACTAATATTTGTTGTGCTGCTTTCTTGTTTCCACCAAATGGAATGTTGCTTTTTAAGTGATTCTTTGCAGGCGTCATCGGACGTTCGGGTTCACCAAAGAGACGAGCGTAAGAGTCTACATTTTTTTGACCACGTCTTGGTTGATCGCCTAAAAGTTTAAAAAAGTTTTGTTTGTTTTTTTGGAGGTTAATTAAAAATTTCAAATTATAAAAAACAAAAAATTAAATAAAAATAATTATTTTTATGTTATATTTGTGTGTGTGCTTTATGCTTAAGTTTGTGAAAATAGTGATTAATAAACGTAAAATAATTTGCGATTGTGATTGTTTTTTTGTATTGATTGGGAAATTAAAATAATAGGTTTTGTTTTAATATAATTAAAAGAATATTTTGCAATTTTTTGTTATTGAACTATATAAAAATTAAGAATTTGAAAAACTAAACAAAATAAACTCTATACGTGAGTTAGTTTAATTTTATGCCAAATAAGTTATGCTAAAGCAGATTGATTAGGTCTTAGATCTTAAATTATTGGTAAGTGCATAAAACAAATGTCATCATGAAGTAAAAAATGTTTATTTACAAGTTTCAGCAACAACAAAACGCCGCACATTTTACAACTTAAATGACATGCGCAACTTACAAAACATTTTTTAAAAATGCAGATATTAAATCCAAATGCAGATACAAACTCCAAACGCGGTAATGGTAATATTCATATAATTGCTATCATTACTTGCTTCACTTTTCCGCAAATCTTTCAAGATTCGACTCAGAAATAATATCTTATCTACTAAAGAATTTACTTTGCTTCCCGTTGCAATTTGCTTAAACTCTATTAGGCAGAGAAGACAGACAACAACAAGAGGTTTTCGTCGAAGCTGCTTTACACAAATGATAGTGCTGCATATTTGTATACCCGTGAAGATATTATTTAGATATGTAGATAGATGTGTTTATTTTATGTTTACATATTCGTTAAAACTGGTTGGTAAATAAAGTAATTAAAAAGAAAGCTTTCACTGTTGAATTCTGAACATAATAACGCGCGCGACCACTATACTCCATACATCTAATATAAATCAGCTCTTAAACCCCACATACATTCGCTACATTTATGAAGTTAGTTTGTACATATCAGATAGGTATAAATATCAACGTGGCTTTCATCTAATAAGAACACCATAAGATTCTAGGAGAGATAGCAGAGCAATGAGTATACTTGTGTATACAGATGCAAACCTTACATTATACAAAAAGCTAAAAGTGTTAGAAAATAAACTAAAAAAAAGATATATAAATTAAGTTTAATACTCGTATAAATTTTACATAAATATTTAGAAGTGGAAAAGTGGAAGTTATATTTAATATATCAAGACTATAATCAAAATAAATAAAGATGTAAAGAAGTTCGTTAGCTATTCTTCTTTGAATTGACAACTTGCTTCAGTTTTAAAAGTCTTTTATTAGACGATCGTTTCATTTTAAAAATCATAATTAAGTTTTAAAATAACAAGCTTCTCTAACAAAAACTTCTGTCGGATTTGAGAGTTTATGTGTCAGCTATATCTAATTCTCTCATATAAACGGAGAAAACTCATATTCGATTGTTCAGTTTATATGATCGCTTTAAGATATAATGGTTCGATTTTGGCTAATCCAGCAAGTATGTCATTAGAAAAGCTAACTAATTAAAAGTGTAGTTGGGGATGAAACCGACAGATTAACAAAAATAAGATAACTTAGCTTGTCGAGCTGATCAAGTTACATAAAGTATATTGGGCCGATGAAGCCGTTTCCAACATCTTGACAAACCTAATATTGCCTTTTTACACTATTTTGTGTAAATGGTATTAAAATATACAATATTGGTTCTATGAGTGATATTTTGTAAAAGTAAATTTTGTAGCCACTCATAATTTACGACTTAGTACTGACCAGTCGAAATTTCAACGTTAATAAAGATTTGAGGTAAATAGGTTTTCTCTAAAAAAAAAAGAAACCACATGCGATGCCTAGAGTATTAACAGTATAAGACAATGATTTCAGGAATTGTAACGGTGTTTTACCGCTAACCAAAAACAAAAAAAAAGTAATGTGTCTTAGTCAAAACGAGGAAACTACTCTAACCGTTATAAAAACAATACACATAATTAGTTCTAGGAGGTTGCGAGTTTAAATATCGTATCCAATCTTCATCGAGAACTAAGTGGTGCTCATAATTTTAGTTCATGCCTTGCTGTGCACAAAGAACTTGAACTAAGTGGTGTTCCATAAAAACAAGGAAATTCAGATTTACAAATGTTGATCATAACAGCAAAAGGAGTTTCCATGTTCGCGAAAAAGACGAGCGCAGGAGGTTTCAAACGAGAGAACTGCACGCAGTTTAACAAAAACTATTGGTTTTAGTAGCGGCCGGGTTCATGTTTTATAGCAATCTATTATCGACGATCAACTGTTTATAAGCTTATTTCTTAATAAATAAAATTCAAATAATATAACAAATATTTCTTGAATTATGTTGAATTCAAAGAAACTGATGTAGATAAGCAAGAAATCTCTATACCAACGTCTAAAGAAAAGTCTGACTGAAGTTCTTTATAATATTGTATGAAATGATTTTGCAATAATAAATTAAATTAATTAATTAATTTTTAAAGGGTGTATTGTATTTAAATTGCAAATTAAAAACAAGAATATATAAAACTATAATTTCAATTGCAATACCAATGAAATAGAATCTGTGAGCTCCTTGTCGAACTGCAAAGATAAAAAAAGAAAGAGAAAAAGAAAATAATTCAAATTGAATTTTCTTTTCTTTTCTTATATAAACTATAGCAAATTAAAAACATCTTATATCAAAAATATATTTACAAGACCTTGAAGGCTTTGCCTTTAAATTTATAGTAATTTTATAATAATAAAAAGCTTGAAGCTATAAGACATATATTTACAATTGATAGAACTTGTTTTTATATTTACCAGTATTTTTCACAGCATTTTTCTCGCAAGAGAATATGTTCGATTGCATGTGATTCTTCACTGAACGCGGTGTTTGAGGCATTTCAGAGGCGAAAATATCACTTGATCCACCACCCGGAGGTCTCAAAACTCTGAAATGATAAAAAAAGCAATTTTAAAAAATAATTTTTAAACAAAAAAATTTAGTTTATATATGTTATATATATTTGTCATTAAATTGAATATTAATGTAGAAAATGAAAATGGAATTTCTTTTTTTGAATCCATGCTGATCAATTCGGGAATTATGCACAATTACGTTCTTAGAGCATACATTGCAATTAAGTTCTTAACATCCTTTATTTTTACTAAATGGTTACTTTTCACGCATAAACTTCACGTCTATTGCTAATGTAAGCCGAACTGCTGATTTACTGCATATGATGTAATTAATCTGTTCTATTGTATTTCCATCATACAAATTTTAACTCAATTGATTTTTGTTAACAATTAAAGCTACCACATTTCAAACAAATAAGAAATGGTAGGTGACCCTTCCGCTACCAATAAACTACGACGCTGTTTATTGAGATTTCAGAAGAATAAACTAAATTGAAAGGTCACCATTAATGGACGACCAGTAGAGATCAACAATTTTATTTCTAGAACTGGTTTAAATACTCTGGTTTTACTAAAGCAGTGCATACTTTGGCAAAACGAACTAAGAACAACACAATAATATAGAGTTCAGAAATAACCATTTGGTGGGACTCCCAGATAGTATGACTTCACATAAGAGGATTTAAAGTCATAGTTGTATTCGGCCACGAGAACAAAGATTTGTGTATTGAATCTCAACATTTAGAACGTTTTGAAAAATTGGCTTTAATTCCTGAAACGTTCTCATTGAGGTCACATGCCTGAATTAATTTTTCATGATTAATCTTAAGCAATTATTTATCGAATAAAAAAACATTTAGCTCATTTTCTCAACTTATAACTGTTATATTTCAATTTTAATTTTAATCAGTTTTAGGAAAAACAACCGATGTATACATATATGCATACTTACACATATGAAAGGTTGAAAAAATTTAGCTAAATATCATGCAGCGTAATTTCTCAATCACCTAATTGTCTTGAATGAAATCATTTAATGGTCTAAATGACTTTGAATTTGTAATTGACTAAGATTTTTTTCACGGCTCTGTAAATTTTATTCAGAATTAATAATCTTCTTCATGTTCCAGTATCAATTCAACATAGATACAGAAATAAGAAAAAAAAAAATTAAAAAGGTAAAAATATATTTCAAACCAAGCTGAAAACTTACTTCTTCAACAAAATGTAATTAAGTATAGAACAGAAGAATGGAACATAAGAAAAAATATGGCTTAAATCTCTCTTGTTGGTGGTGTTGAATTTGAGATTTTTGATGTTACTGGTGTTGGTGCTGGCAAAGATTGCAGTTGCACTTCTTACAGCGAACAGTAGAAGGGGAATGTGCGCAGTAACTCCAAACTGCATGAAATACGATTTTACTAACTTCTAATTTTGAAATAATTCCCTTTTGCTTTAAAGTAAATTTTATGGTTTTATGCAATTATGCAACAGTGCGAGACCACAAAGACAAACTTATAAGTAACCAACCAACACCGAAGCAGATGGGTAATTAGGTTTGTAATTGAATAATAATCTATCTTTAAAGAAAATCTTACTGAAAGTTTTAGCACAAAATGATAAAATATAATTAAAAATTTAATTTCTTAAACAAGAGTAAATCACCAACCGTTTAAAATAAATCCATAATAATTGTTGTAGATGTGGTAGTAAACTTTTAATTATAAATATCTGTATAGGTAAATCTTCAACATGCTAGTATTACTTAACCATCATTCTGTAAGTCCTGAGAGTGATAATCAAACAATGACACTTATTTATACTGTATAAATTTAATTTTTAGAAAGAACCAATTGCAAAATTGTAGTAGACAGACAGTTTACTTTTGTAAACACTATTTTTTAGAAATATTTCTTTATGTGAAAAGTGTATTTAATAAGATCATTTGATCAAGAACTACTATGTGTTGATGATGCCGAGTATTGTTTGGACCTTTTTAGGCATAATAAAAATACATATTTCTTTCGTTATGTAAGAGTGGATAAAACCTGGATCGACCGCTATACGGTAAAAATAAAAACGTCAGTTGACAAGACAATGGGTGATACCTGCTCATAATTGTACAGGAATTTGTTACACGTATTAGATGATTAACTGAAAAGATTTATTACAAATTTTAGTAAATGAGTTTACTATTTAATGGTTCAAAGAGAACAACTAATTAAAATATATAAAAAAGAGATTTTGGAAAAAAATATTTAAGAAAACGTTAGTTTAAGTTAGGTGAAGGGTAGTACTTTGATGGAAAAAATTGTATAGGGATCGAAAAATAAATGTTATACATAAAAAATTGTATAAAAACACACATTGGGAAGCCTTTTTAAACAGGAAGTAGAAATGTATTTTGGATATCGTTTACGTTTTAAATATCAAATGTCATTATACCTTGTTTTAAAAGTCTTCTTTTAATTTAAATATTACTTAGACATACAAACAAATATTGTAATGGCAATAATATGATATATATTATACAATGTATAACACAACAATAATTATGCTTCTAATTATTTCAACATAGTATAACACATCAGTCTTTCAACTTAGTAAAAAAATAATATTTATTTTGTAAAAGTCGTATTTATTTTTAATATAACTCAAGTCAATATTCATATCTATTACGACTTTTTTGTAGAATGATTTATCTTAGCCTGAAAGAAAGAGTTTCGTATATGGCTTTATTGTGACAGAAAAATGTTTTTCTAAAAGGATTCTTTTGGCATACAAACCGACAAATATGCAGGATGAAGTATAATTCATGGAATAAGTTCAATAAAATTATAACATCCGCCGCCGATAGTAAAAAGAGTAGAATGATATTGTTTGCATATGAATCATTTTTTAACAAAAAGGTAAAATCCACATTTTGCATATATAACACATACAATTGTGTATTACTTAAATCTCTATTTTAGCAGTTAAGGTCAGGCATGCACTCGTTCTATATATCACAACATAGGAGAAAGTGCGTAAATATACAGTCAAACTTCCATAACTTCTTTAACTTCGAGTTAAAGAATCTTTTTGTAATTTACTCATTAAATCTTGTTGCACTTTAGTTCGAGTTATGGAAGTTTGACTATATATATATTTTTAAATATTGAAGGATTTTGAGCGTTTAATGAAATCTATCTGTATACCAATTTTGATTTCGCCACTAAAATACTTTCAAACTGCTTGAACTTTTGAATTGATTTCTTGTTCAAAGAAAAGGAAAATATCATTTAAGAAGGGATCTATTTGAATATTCACAGATATATGGAGTGTTTAAGAAAAGTCTAATCGAAGTAAGCATGAAGCTTGAGTGATATACCAGTTTATAATTTATCAAACATCTTGCAACATTTTTAACATAAATAAAATATAATTTAAAAAAATAAAATATATTATGCCAACTGCCTATTTGTGAATTATATGGTAGAATAAAAGAATCTGGTGTATTGACTAAATTTAATTAAATAATCGCTAAAACTGTATAAGAAATAATAGAATTTTATTTATTCGTCTCGGCCGTTAAGCAAAGCAGCTTAAAACAATGCAATTAGCTTGGAAAATTTTAAAATTAGTGCCTTGACTCTAGGCGCAAATGTGCGCTTTAGACAATACTCTTCTTTTATACATCAACTAGCTTAGCTTAGAGTTTGATTATTTAGAATTATTTTAGAATTAGAACAGCTATGCTGCACTACATTTTTGTAATTTTTTACTCTATGCCAGTTCTTTATACTTTTCCACTATTGAAATTGCTGCATTTCCCAGTTCAAAGCATGATGCATGATGGCAGAATAAATAATTGGTTTCTGTTCTAATTTTGTTGCATGCAGAATAAATACCGTAAATAGCATTAAAAAAGCGCTACATACATCCAAGAATTAAGCCATCATTAATTATATTTGCAGAATTGTAGATAAATTCATAGAAGCATGGAAAGATTTGAATAAAAATAATTAATAAAGAAAATTATGATGGAAAATTTTAAATCACACAATATCTACTCTTATATTGGTGATCGTATACGAGTATCACAAGATTTTCATGATTTTTATTTAATTAAACTAAATTTGTAATTAAGTGATTTTTAAATTTGGGTTAGCTTGGGTTAGAGTACAAGTTGAAAAATTAATACTCTAGAAACTATAGTAAGTCCTTAAGATTTTTTAACTGTGTTGCGTATGCTATGGACATTGAAAAAGCAGAAGTGAAATAACTATGAGTTGTGGTAAAGAGATTTTTTAAACATGGAAACTATTTTTTAATTAGATTAATCTAATTAATTAGATAAGATTAAGAAAGAAAAAATTACTAAAAACTACTAACTTTTCTTTCAAACTTCATACTATTGCAAACTTTTTTAAATTTATGAAGATGAATTTTAAATATCATTGAATATAATTTTCTCTGTCGAGTAGCGCTTATATAAAATAACTGTTTGAAATGAACTTATACTGGCATTGGCTTTAACAATAAAAAACAAATTTGAAAATATTATTAAACAATTTAATTGCAGCAAGTTAATATTAAATAATAGATTTTGAATTACAACAATATTATTTGTAAAAATAAAATAAGTGTTTTTATTTTTTTTTACTATTTACTTTTTTATTTAAAATAGTTTTCTTCGTGATATTTGAGTTTATTATCTTATTTCCTTGACTTAAACCGATATGTGATTACTCTATTCAGTTATAATAGTTTAGCTGCATAACATAGGCCGTTTCCAATTGGTAAAAGAAGTTACTGATCTCAAAAACCAATTTATTGTTTACACTTCTGTACAGCAGAAGTCTGTTTAATATCCTCATAAGATTACAAGACTCTTCTGTTTATCTTTTAGGACCTTTTCATGTTTATGTTTTTAAGTGTATATAAAGAAAGAGATAGACAGAGAGAGTATTATCTACGTGTAGATTCTCTCTGTTACTTCTGGAGGAGTGTTATAAAAAGATGTAGCCATAAGCGAACGAAAATCGTAAAT